AGACTTGATAATTCTCACATTCCCATAACTTTTCTTCTATCAAGACAAAAACGTATAAAACCTTTTTTTTTTTTAATTAATTCAGCCCACATTCAGACTTTTCTAGTACTCTCCTTTGCCTGTTAACACTTTTTTTTTTAAAAAAAAACCCAACTATTGTCAACTATATATTAAACAATATCAACTATTACTTCTCCAACCACCCCTGGGTAGTCGGCCAGGGCAATAAAAACTCTTGGGTGTATTACTCAAGAGATCTTAAGTTTGATTCTCATTAGTTATTAATAGGGGTGGTCATTGGAGGGTTTATCTGGTTATTAAAGATTAAACGATATGCGCGTAAGCGGTCCAGACACCCCAAGTCACCCAAAAAAAAAAAAAAAAAAAAATTACTTCTCAATTTGGAAGTCTATTTGATTGGTAAATGGATTTCTATTATTATTTTTTTAATTGTTTCCACTTTTTTATTTGCTAATTATATATCGGGTTTATGATATTGTGTACTCTTATATATCGTGTTCATGAAACTATAATGAATTTCTTTTATCAGTGGATGCAAACGAATTATGCCAAACCACGTAAATATCATGTTTTTTTAAGTTGTGTGATTTTATTTATATGTAATTAATCTCGAATGTATATTTTTCTGTTGCCTTTTCTCCTAACACGAAATCGAAACGCATCAAACCTATAAATTGGGGAAGCTGAAAACAGTAACCCATTTTACTAATTTAGAGGATTGTCATATATATATATATATATTTATTTATTTATTTATTTATTATCATCTATTGAAAAAAAAAAAAAAAAAAAGATGACTTCATCTTTGGATAAGCTACATTTATTTATACCAACTAGCTAGAAATTAAAAATAAAAATTAATCAAAGTGTTTGATTTCTTCAATGTGTTGGTGGCCACCCTTTTGAAGTTGAATTGCTATTTTGGTTGAAGTTTCACGTTTGAGAGAGTGATGTTGTCTGGAGTTTGGCCCGCAATTGGTCTTTTTTTGCAGATTATTTAAAGTTTGTGGGCTATTATTGGCTATGGAGTTGACAATTCTTGCAAATTTTCAAACGGTTAGGTCGATTTGTGCAATGATTTTGTTCACATTTCAGGGATTGAATAAAAAGCCTCTTCAATGTATTTTTAATATTTTTCATTAATTACATAAATGGATACCGAAACAATAAAATAGATGATCGAAGAACGAAGGTAAAAAGTGATATGATAACAACCACTGAATAAAAAAACACCTCAAAACGACTTCGAAGGGATAAAAAATTATGACTCGTATGAGTTTTGTTTGTTTGGCCGTTTTAGAGTGCCCTGCCCAAAATCATTGCATTTTAAGACCCTTGACCACAATTCATCCGATGGGTCCGGCATCAAAAACGCTTTTCTAATGTGTTATTATTTTATGTAACATTCTTAATATTATTTCGTCGTAGAGTAATACTACGCTGATAAACACTTCTCATTAACTTGTTCTCAAAAACGTGACGTGGGAAAAAGTTACATAAAATAATAACACATCAGAAAAACAGGAAACTAATACCGAAACAATAAAATAGATGATTGAAGAACGTAGGTAAAAAGTGATATGATAACAACCACTGAATAAAAAATCCCTCAAAACGACTCTGAAGGGATAAAAAATTACGACTCGCATGAGTTTTGTTTGTTTGACAGTTTTAGAGTGCCCTACCAAAAATCATTGCATTGTAACACCCTCGACACAATTCATCCGATGGGTCCTGTATCAAAAACGCTTTTCTGATGTGTTATTATTTTATGTAACATTCTTATTATTATTTCATCATAGAGTAATACTACGTTGATAAACACTTCTCACTAACTTTTTCTCGCAAATGCGACGTGAGAAAAAGTTACATAAAATAATAACACATCAGAAAAGCAGGAAACTGATACCGAAATAATAAAATAGATGATTGAAGAATGTAGGTAAAAAGTGATATGATAACGACCACTAAATAAAAAAATCCCTCAAAACGACTCCAACGGGCTAAAAAATGACAACTCCAACGGGCTAAAAAATGACAACTCGCATGAGTTTTGTTTGTTTGGCCGTTTTAGAGTGCCCTGCCCAAAGTCATTGCATTCTAACACCCTTGACACAATTCATCCGATGGGTCCTGCATCAAAAATGCTTTTCTGGTGTGTTATTATTTTATGTAACATTCTTATTATTATTTCATTATAGATTAATACTATGCTGATAAACATTTCTCACTAACTTTTTCTCACAAACGCGACGTGAGAAAAAGTTACATAAAATAATAACACATCAGAAAAGCAGGAAACTGATACCAAAACAATAAAATAGATAATTGAAGAACATAGGTAAAAAGTGATACGATAACGACCACTTAATAAAAAAAAAATCCCTCAAAACAACTCCAAAGGGCTAAAAAATGACGACTCACATGAGTTTTGTTTGTTTGGTCGTTTTAAAGTGCCCTACCCAAAACCATTGCATTCTAACACCCTCGACACAATTTATTTGATGGGTCCTGCATCAAAAACGCTTTTCTGATGTGTTATTATTTTATGTAACGTTCTTATTATTATTTCATCGTAGAATAATACTACGCTGATAAACACTTCTCACTAATTTTTTCTCACAAACGCGATGTGAGAAAAAGTTATATAAAATAATAACACATCAGAAAAGCGAGAAATTGATACCGAAACAATAAAATATGATTGAAGAACGTAGGTAAAAAGTGATACGATAACGACCACTGAATAAAAAACTCCTCAAAACGACTACGAAGGGATAAAAAATTACTACTCGCATGAGTTTTGTTTGTTTGAACGTTTTAGAGTGCCCTACCAAAAATCATTGCATTCTAACACCCTCGACACAATTCATCCGATGGGTCCTGCATCAAAAACGCTTTTCTAATGTGTTATTATTTTATGTAACATTATTATTATTATTTCATCGTAGAGTAATACTACGCTGATAAACACTTCTCACTAACGCAATGTGTTAGCTCGTAATGGGTCTCGCCTGATCAAATGCAAGCTACCACATCGCGTTTGTGAGAGAAATTAGTGAGAAGTGCTTGTCATCCTACCTTTATTCATTTATGATTTCAATAGGTACTTTGGTGCAGTTTTCTTAAATATCATCTACTAATTGTTAATTAAGATTTGTTTTGGGATGTTTTGTAATTTTTATAACATTGTAGAATATCTTCTAAATAACAAATATTTTAATGAGAGGAGAACAGAAACAGGAACTGTTCTAGCCCATACCAAATCACAGCCTCTCTGCAACCAATCCCAAACGAAGAAAAAAGCATCCTCGTGAATTGTGATTTATGCAACCTTATCCACAAAGCAAACCCTAATTCTGTAATTTCACAACCCCATCAATCCATTCATTCATCCATGATCCTCACCTAAATTCGTCAAAAACCCACAAAACCCCACTCCCATTTCACGTAATTTCATCTTCATCACCTTCCTAAAAAATATCTCTTTTCCTTCGTCAGCTCTTCACCCTTTTGCTTAACTTTACTTAAAACTCACCACCATTAAATAAAAACGCACACAAAATCACAGAGATAAACTAATCCCACTCCGTACAGGTTTTTTTTTTTTTTTTTCTTGTTCTTTTTTTAAGAGTGAAAGAGAGTTTGATTTGATGATCACGAGCTCTTACCTTTCACGGGCAATAACCCATCTGTAGTCTCTTTCTCCACCCAACAATCCCNCTATGTCTATGTCTATCCCAGTGTCCCATCAAGCACAAGTTGTTTCTTCTTCAATGTGACTACAATAATTGAATAAGAACCTCATAAAGTGATAAATTATTGTCAAACTTATCTCAACAATTGATTTGATATTATCTGGAAAATTTAATTTCTCAAATCAATTTACATAATTGTCTAATATATTGAGGGTTTTTCAAACCTAAAATTTGGCATAAACTTTTGGATATATATGTCATGCCCATACATTATTAGCCGATGAGAATGTTGATCGGTTTATAAGTTATTTGAAGGGTGTAGGATGAAAGACCTGTTGGTGTCAAAATCTCACATCAGTTAGGAGACGAAGACTTTGTTTGCTTATATAACACAATGACATCCTCACTACCCAAGGGCACGTTTTTAGGATAAAATTGTGTGGATCCTAGGGTCTAAAGTGAACAATACTTATGGGAACCTACCTATCATGTGTCTGGGTTAATTAAGAAATTGTGAAAAAGCCTCAACTTTCACGAACAAGGACAACATTCACAAGTCACAACACCCTCATTACCTAGAAGCGTCTTTTTAGGATAACACCATGAGGGTTACTTGTGAACCCACTTACCATGTGTCTAGATCCGACATACATCAACAAGACTCAAAGCAATTGGTATCAGAGGGGGCTAGCAACTTGATAGACTTGACGATGCTACAATGTCTATAAAAAAGTAGTCATATTAATTAGGCATTTATCATATCAGGATAGCACTATTAAGCCATCAATAATTTTAAGTTAGGCTTAAGATTTAAAAGTAGTGGCTGATGCTTCTTTGTCTTTTCATTTGAAATACTCAAAGATTAAAGGTTAGTGAGCTCTTTCTTGATACCTGAGTGGTACCAGTATATTTTGAAAGAAATATCAATTGCCACAATGTCTGTCCATCTTTGTTTTTTTGTTCCTAGCCATACCCTTCCCCTTCCCCCCAATTCCCCCCCTTACATATCAAATGAAATTCTTGGGAGGATAAAGAGCTGCAATGTTTGTATAAGTGTGACTCAATTTCTGTCTTTTCTTTGGTTTTAATGACACTTTCTATTTCCCAGATACAAATGTCAAACTTTTGATTTGATTCCATTTTAACTGGGACAGAGGATAAGTATTCCCGAGATAGAAACCACGAGTGGTTCTTAAAGAACCTTCCAGCCGATTCCTAGTTGAAAACACAATAACAACCAGTTTGAAGAGCCTGATCAGCCCATGCAAGCATTGAGAAATCATGCAAATCATTGCTGAAGCCACATTCCAGCTGCTGGAACAAATGTCTCAACCATTTTTGACTGGTAGCCTCGACATCGATGACGATATGGAGGAGGACCTAGAAACCGATCCCGATCTCGACATCGATAGCAGCGGGGAATCGTGTATGCTATGGATTATTACAAGCCTATGAGCTGGGAGGATTATGTGGACCATATGTTGAATGAAGTTTCATTTGTCTTGTGGGGATCCAGTTACTTGGTTGTGAAGAATTAAGAAACTTTTTACTGTTGCTTAGAAATGTCTATCTCACTTGTCAGCCTGGAATCCACATCTGGTGCACATGTTTTCACTTGCTTGTGCCTTTCACCCTTTTTAGTAAAGTGATGTTGTTTCCTGATATTTATATGTGTTGGTGCCCATTGCAGGTGGCTTTATATGTTTGCTGTAGTGTACTCTTATACAATAATGTATGTAAAGTTATTAGTGTTGTATCCTTTTCAGATTCAAACATTATATAGCTTTTGTTGTAAATATGCTTTTACATCATGTCAGATGAAAAGTTGAAACCATTTTGTAAATGCTTTAGACTATAATTCTCGGTACCTTTACTCATTTCCCATAGCGTACTTGCAGCTTTTATAGTAAACTATACTCCAAGCTTCGTTTCTACTATCTTTTGCCAGCAGTTCTGTCACTCTATATGCGTGTTTTTTTTATTTTGGTGATCAAAGTGTTTGGATCAGTTTACGTGTACTTCGTTGAAGGTCAGATAAATTCTTTCAGTGGACACTTTTATTAGTAATCAGATGATCGAACTTAAAACTTTTAAATAATGCACTCAAAGTTATGGTTGACAGTGGACTATCCAACTGGTGGTTCTCAATATGTTGTTTGAGTGATTCAAATGAGTACTTGAGGGATTTTAACGTAGGAGAATATGATATAGTCGAAATCATCAAAACGTCTGGGTGTGTAGTTGGTATCACGCTGTCTCACACACTAGAGGTCCCGGTTCGAACCCGGCTCAGACATTTTTCAATTTTTTTGTTTCAGTTCACAAGTTGCACTGTTGAAGAATGAAAGTTCTTAAGAAAAAAAAAGAAGGATTTGAACCCGACGTGAATCGAACACGCAACCTTCTGATCTGGAGTCAGACGCGCTACCATTGCGCCACGGATCCACTTGTTGTTACATTAGTCGTTCAAATAACTAATAAATAATATAGTACAATTTTAGAACCCCCCTTTCGAAGATAGTGAATATATATAAACTAACTACAATATTTTTAAATTTTTTATATAATAGGGAGTTTTTTTTTTTCTTTTTGAAGAGGGGTTGTGATAATTTTAAGGGATAAATGATAGTTTAGGAGTGTATCAATACTTTTCAATTTTTGTGGGTGTGTTTGTATTTTATTGTTTCTCAGGGGTTGGCCATGATAACCTCCTGTTGGCTTTCAACTAAGCACTTTGTTTCTGGTGCATGGCTCCTGCCATGGCGCTTGGTCATGGTTCAAGCTTGTGGCGCTGATGAAATCAAATTTGTGCAAATCTTCGTATCCAAAGTTCTTGTGTTCAAGTCGCGGAGAAAATCTACTACATTTATGTAATTACTTGTGATCCATCGGTCTTGCAGGATGTTCCATGACCCTGAGGATTAGGTGGCTCAGCTGACAATTGTGGCCGAATACCCTAGTTATTAAAAAAAAAATATATATATATATATCTCTTATAGAATGCCCATTTTGCCCTTGCAATTTCGTTGTCCTTCATTACAAAATGGGCATATACAGAATATTTGACCATTTCTCAAAATTGATGGGCTTAATTGATTTCAAGTCCAACCCAGATGGACTTCAAAACTAAAAATAATTAAGGGAGCAGGGGTAACGTTACCCCCATATAGGTCCTTGCTTGAATTATTGGATTTTTCATGATTTTTCCTGTCAATTAAAATGGGAAAAAAATTCCTATCAACACCATAAATATTTATATGTGTACGAGCTCGTCCGCGATATTGGGTCCGGGAATTTTGGGGTTGCCAGGTTGATGAGAGATAAACAAACTGATGAACTTGTTGCGGTTAAGTATATCGAGAGAGGTGAGAAGGTTAGTCTCGATTTTTTTTACTTCTTTAAATTTTATTTGTTTTTTGTTGATGGCTTTTTAGTTTAGTGGCTAATTACTTGGTTTTGTTGGTGATTGTTCGAGTTCGAGCTCAGTTCAGCTGGTTAGAGTTTAGTTCACTTGGGTTTGAGTTAAAAGATAAGTTCAGGATTAATGAGTATTTGAATTTCGAGCGCTTTGTCAATGGGTTTTTAGTTTACTGGGTAATTAGTAATTACTCAGCTTTTGTTGGTGATTGTTTGAGTTTAAGTCAGTTCGGTTGGTTTTTTAAGTTGATGATGGTTGGTTGAGAATCAATGGGTTTTTTGATCGGTGTCTAGTTGCTTTTTTTTTTTTTTTTATTGTCGAGTGTGGCTTATATTTGTTAATGCATATTTTTAGTTGGTTAGAGATTGAAGAGTTATTTGGATTTTGAACCATTTTGTTGGGTGGTTGTTGATATTTATTGTTATTATATTATTTTTGGTACGGACCACAGAGCAAATGAGTTGGGTTTAGCTTATCGGGTGTGGTGATTTGAGATTTTTTAGCTGGTATCATTCTGAGATTAACTTCTGAATTTTATGGGAAGTTGTCGTTTGTTTGAATACCAGTTTTGATTGGAAGAAGTTATAAAGATGTCAATCTTATTTATAAAGCTTATGCTTGTAGCTTATTGAAGTGTGACTTCGTGTTGTAATGGGATGTTTTGAACTGTAGTGGATGATTGCTTGCTTGTCCCTTTGTAATAGGCAATGGTACTAATTTGATATGATTTATATAAATGGCTCTCTGACTTCTCTAATTGATGTTGTTATTTTTACGATTTCTGTTGTGTTTGACAGATAGATGAAAATGTACAAAGGGAAATTATCAACCACAGGTCACTAAGGCATCCCAATATTGTCAGATTTAAAGAGGTCTGTTCAGTTCCTACAACGTTGTTATAATTCTTCCTCCTCTGGGGAACACATTACACATCAGTAATTTTATGATGTAAATATAGGTCATTTTAACACCAACCCATCTGGCTATTGTAATGGAATATGCGTCTGGAGGAGAGCTATTTGAGCGCATATGCAATGCAGGACGGTTTAGTGAGGATGAGGTTCTTCTCCAGCTCATTCTTTTACTCTCTGGTAGACCTTGAGGTTCTATACTCTACATACTCTTTGTTATGTTGCAGGCACGCTTTTTCTTCCAACAACTTATATCAGGAGTGAGCTACTGTCACTCAATGGTAATAATTTTCTCCTGTGAATCACATTTGACTATTTTTCTCACATACCTAGAAGATGTATCTGGTTGACATGGTTGCATTCTTCTGTTGTATTTTTTTGTGAAGCAAGTATGCCATCGTGACTTGAAATTGGAGAACACATTATTGGACGGAAGCCCAGCTCCTCGTTTAAAGATTTGTGATTTTGGGTACTCCAAGGTATAAGATGTTCTTTTGTTATTGTGGCTATCTTTGCCTGGTCTGTTGCTTATATATGAGACTGAACATTTGATGTTTAGGTCCAAGACCAAAAGTTGTCTATTAATGTACCTCAAGGTGATTAATTGAATGATCATTTGGTTGTATAGGGTTTCCTTTTAGTGAGAATTGATTTCTTGATCTGCTCTCTCGCTTGGTGATATCTTTTCAATATTTCTCTTCTTTTACTATTTGTTGTACTTTGAATCTTTGTATACTATCATTTTGACATGATCTGGTTCTTCCAGTCTTCAGTGCTACATTCACAACCAAAATCAACTGTTGGTACTCCAGCATACATTGCCCCTGAAGTATTACTTAAGAAAGAATATGATGGCAAGGTAATATTCATGAGAAAAAACTACAATAGTATTACTTTATGGATTTTTGATGTTTGACTTCTAGAATCATTATGCGTCCAACTATTTGATGATTTATAAAACATGCACCTGTGGAAGTACTTTGAAGGGTTTGAAAGATAATAACTGAAATCATTAATTCACTGGAGCAAGGATCTCATAAATAACACCCTGCACACATGCATTTATTAACACTTTGATACTAATATTATACCAATTGGATGTGCTGTTCAGATTGCAGATGTGTGGTCTTGTGGAGTAACCTTATATGTTATGTTGGTGGGAGCATATCCTTTCGAGGATCCTGAGGAGCCAAAGAACTTCCGCAAGACAATACACGTAAATCATTCCATTTTAGCAACGATAGAAGTAACTTGTTATGCCTTTCCATCAGTGAATGACGGCTTTACTAATGTTCTTGGGTGACGTATTTGGTTGTTTCTTGCAGCGTATTCTGAATGTTCAGTACTCAATTCCAGATTATGTTCATATTTCTCCTGAGTGCCGCCATCTGATCTCCAGGATTTTTGTGGCTGATCCTGCAAAGGTTAGTGAGCTCTTTCTTGATACCTGAGTGGTATCCAGTATTTTGAAAGAAAATATCAATTGCCACAATGTCTGTCCTATCTTGTTTTTTTGTTCTCTCACCGTACTCCATCCCCTTCCCCCCAATCTCCCCACTTAGACATATCAAATGAAATTCTTGGGAGGATAAAGAGCTGCAATGTTTGTATAAGTTTGACTCAATTTCTGTCTTTTCTTTGGTTTTAATGACACTTTCTATTTCCCAAGATACAAATGTCAAACTTTTGATTTGATTCTCATTTTAACTGGGACAGAGGATAAGTATTCCCGAGATTAGAAACCACGAGTGGTTCTTAAAGAACCTTCCAGCCGATCTCATAGTTGAAAACACAATGAACAACCAGTTTGAAGAGCCTGATCAGCCCATGCAAAGCATTGATGAAATCATGCAAATCATTGCTGAAGCCACAATTCCAGCTGCTGGAACAAATAGTCTCAACCATTATTTGACTGGTAGCCTCGACATCGATGACGATATGGAGGAGGACCTAGAAACCGATCCCGATCTCGACATCGATAGCAGCGGGGAGATCGTGTATGCTATGTGATTATTACAAGACCTATGAGCTGGGAGGAATTATGGTGGACCATATGTTGAATGAAGTTTCATTTGTCTTGTGGGGATCCAGTTACTTGGTTGTGAAGAATTAAGAAACTTTTTACTGTTGCTTAGAAATGTCTATCTCACTTGTCAGCCTGGAATCCACATCTGGTGCACATGTTTTCATCTTGCTTGTGCCTTTCACCTTTTTAGTAAAGTGATGTTGTTTCCTGTATTTTATATGTGTTGGTGCCACTTGCAGGTGGCTTTATATGTTGTACTGTAGTGTACTCTTTATACAATAATGTATGTAATAAAGTTATTAGTGTTGTATCCTTTTTCAGATTCAATTCGCCTAAACATCGGTTCTTTGTTGTGTTACATTATATAGCTTTTATTGTAAATATGCTTTTATCATCAGTCAGATGAAATAGTTGAAACCATTTTGTAAATGCTTTTAGACTATAATTCTCGGTACCTTTACTCATTTCCCATAGCGTACTTGCAGCTTTTATAGTAAACTATACTCCAAGCTTCGTTTCTACTATCTTTTGCCAGCAGTTCTGTCACTCTATATGCGTGTTTTTTTTATTTTGGTGATCAAAAGTGTTTGGATCAGTTTACGTGTACTTCAGTTGAAGGTCAGATAAATTCTTTCAGTGGACACTTTTATTAGTAAATCAGATGATCGAACTTAAAACTTTTTAAATAATGCACTCAAAAGTTATGGTTGACAGTTGGACTATCCAACTGGTGGTTACTCAATATGTTGTTTGAGTGATTCAAATGAGTACTTGAGGGATTTTAACGTAGGAGAATATGATATAGTCGAAATCATCAAAACGTCTGGGTGGTGTAGTTGGTTATCACGCTAGTCTCACACACTAGAGGTCCCGGGTTCGAACCCGGGCTCAGACATTTTTCAATTTTTTTGTTTCAGTTCACAAGTTGCACTGTTGAAGAATGAAAGTTCTTAAGAAAAAAAAGAAGGGATTTGAACCCGACGTGAATCGAACACGCAACCTTCTGATCTGGAGTCAGACGCGCTACCATTGCGCCACGGATCCACTTGTTGTTACATTAGTCGTTCTAATAACTATATATAATAAATAATATGTACAATTTTAGAACCCCCCCTTTCGAAGATAGTGAATATATATAAACTAACTACAATATTTTTAAAATTTTTTTATATAATAGGGAGTTTTTTTTTTTCTTTTTGAAGAGGGGTTGTGATAATTTTTCAGGGGTAATGATAGTTTAGGAGTGTATACAATACTTTCAATTTTTGTGGGTGTGTTTGTATTTTATGTTTCTCAGGGGTTGGCCATGATAACCTCCTGTTTGGCTTTTCCAACTAAGCACTCTGTTTGGTGCATGGCTCCTGCCATGGCGCTTGGTCATGGTTCAAGCTTGTGGCGCTGATGAAATCAAATTTGTGCCAATCTTCGTATCCAAAGGTTCTTGTTTCAAGTCGCGGGAGAAACATCTACTACATTTATGTAATTACTTTGATCCATCGGTCTTGCAGGATGTTCCATGACTGAGGATTAGGTGGGCTCAGCTGACAATTGTGGCCGAATACCCTAGTTATTAAAAAAAAAAAATATATATATATATATCTCTTATAGAATGCCCATTTTGCCCTTGCAATTTCGTTGTCCTTCTATTACAAAATGGGCATAACAGAATATTTGACCATTCTCAAAATTGATGGGCTTAATTGATTTCAAGTCCAACCCAGTGGACTTCAAAACTAAAAATAATTAAGGGAGCAGGGTAACGTTACCCCCATATAGGTCCTTGCTTGATTATTGGATTTATGTTCATGATTTTTCCTGTCAATTAAAATGGGAAAAAAATTCCCTATCAACACCATAAAATTTATGTCTATGTCTATGTCCCAGTGTCCCATCAAGCACAAGTTGTTTCTTCTTCAATGTGACTACAATAATTGAATAAGAACCTCATAAAGTGATAAATTATTTCAAACTTATCTCAACAATTGATTGATATTATCTGGAAAATTTAATTTCTCAAATCAATTTACATAATTGTCTAATATATGAGGGTTTTTCAAACCTAAAATTTGGCATAAACTTTTGGATATATAGTCATGCCCATACATTATTAGCCGTGAGAATGTTGATCGGTTTATAAGTTATTTGAAGGGTGTAGGATGAAAGACCTGTTGGTGTCAAAATCTCAAATCAGTTAGGAGACGAAGACTTTGTTTGCTTATAAACCAATGACATCCCACTACCAAGGGCACGTTTTTAGGATAAAATTGTGTGGATCCTAGGGTCTAAAGTGAACAATACTTATGGGAACCTACTATCATGTGTCTGGGTTAATTAAGAAATTGTGAAAAGCTCAACTTTCCCGAACAAGGACAACATTCACAAGTCACAACACCTCATACCTAGAAGCGTCTTTTTAGGATAACACCATGAGGGTTACTTGTGAACCCAATTACCATGTGTCTAGATCCGACATACATCAACAAGACTCAAAGCAATTGGTATCAGAGGGGGCTAGCAACTTGATAGACTTGACGTGATACAATGTCTATAAAAAGTAGTCATATTAATTAGGATTTATCTATTCAGGATAGCACTATTAAGCCATCAATAATTTTAAGTTAGGCTTAAGATTTAAAAGTAGTGGCTGCTTCTTTGTCTTTTCATTTGAAATACTCAAAGATTATTATTCAAGACGACAAAATATCTTAATTTAGCTAAAAATGGCATTATTTGATTAATTAACCTCAAATTTTGTAAATTAGGGTTTCATTTGAAGTGGGAGAATATGAGATTGCCATATTGGATTCTCTTCTTATTCTTAATTACCTTGTTTAATTTTTGTTGGTGTCAAAGTTTCACGTCAATTATGAGACGAGAGTCTTGATCGCTTATATAGCACAAGAGCACACTCACTATCTAAAATGTCTTTCTAGGACAAAACCATGTGAGCCCCAGTGCCCAAAGCGAACAACCGAACAATACTCTGGGATCCTGTCATACCATCCAGAGGTGTCTTTTCAAGATAAAGTCATGTGGGCCCCAAAGTTCAAAACAGACAATAACTTTGAAAACCCACCTCTCATGTGTCAAATATGCATACATCAACATTTTCTTTTATTGGTCACTTCATAAAAAATATTTTAATCTTAATCTTATCATATAGGTACGCATGCATGACATTTAATACTTATAATATTTATTAAAATAATTTGCAGCATTTTGATATATATGTAAGAGTTAACGACATTTTTTCCACCCAAATAATGGTTAAATGATACTTTCTCACCAAATAATGGTTTAATGATACTTTCTCACCCATAGACTTTTAAAATACCGTTTCACTATCCAAATTTATATTTCGACGACGAACAGAGGGCAAACTTGGTATAGACTATTAGGGCTTCTGAATAGGGGAGGTTGATGAGTTTTTTGCTAGTGGAAGTTTGAATTTTGGTGACTGGGATTGATCATAATTTGACTTGGGAGGGACAGTTACGTAAACCTTAATCGCTTGATTGTCAGTTATGTACGGGACTAACGAGAGTAGGGTTTGAGAGGTTTTGGTGAGCGATGATCTGGGAAGAGAATGGTACATGGTGGTGTGGGGTCGTAACGATGTCGGAACCTAGAAACAAAATATAAATGTGTACAAATTTGTACGATGTCTAGAACAAATTTGTACAAATTAGACTTGTTGGTGTCAAAATCTTACATCGGTTAGGAGACGAGGGCCTTGGTTGCTTATATAACACAATGACACTCTCACTACCCAAAGGCGCATTTTCAGGACAAAATTTTGCCGGTCTTAAGGTCTAAAGTGGACAATACCTATGGGAACCTACCTATCATGTGTACAGGTTAATTGAGAAATTGTGCAAAAACCTCAACTTTCACGAACAAGGACAACAATCACAACACCCTCACTAGATAGAAGTGTCTTTTTAGGATAACACCATACAGGCTACCTGTGAACCCACTTACTATATGTCTAGATCTGACATACATCCACAAGACCCAAAACAATTGGTATCAAAGAGGGCTAACAACTCCATCAACAAGACCCAAAACAATTGGTATCAAAGAGGGCTAACAACTCCATCAACAAGACCCAAAACAATTGGTATTAGTGGGGGCTAGCAACTTGATAGACTTGACGATGCTAGATTGTCTATAAATAAATAGTCATATTAATTAGGCATTTATCATATCAGGATAGCACTAATAAGCCATCAATAATTTTACCATAATACTACACATACAATATTTTTATACAACATTTATCATACAACATGAAGTGGCAAAAGATGATTGACTGATTTTAAATTAAAAATAAACTTTCACCCAATCATCTTTTGTCACATCATGTTGTATGAGAAATGTTATATAAAATATGTTGTATGTGTAGTATTACTCATAATTTTAAGTTAGGCTTAAGATTTAAAAGTAGTGGCTGATGCTTCTTTGTCTTTTCATTTGAAATACTCAAAAGATTATTATTCAAGACGACAATAATATCTTAATTCTTAGCTAAAAATGGCATTATTTGATCAATTAACTTCAAAATTTTGTAAATTAGGGTTTCATTTGAAGTGGGAGAATATGAGATCGCCATATTGGATTCTCCTCTTATTCTTAATCACCTTGTTTAATTTCTGTTGGTGCCAAAGTTTCATGTCAGTTATGTAACGAGAGTCTTGATCGATTATATAGCATAAGAGCACACTCATTATCCAAAACATCTTTTCAAGACAAAACCATGTGGGCTCCAGTGTCCAAAGCGAACAATACTCTGGGATCCTACCAACCTTGTGTCTCTGTCATATCACCCAGAGGCATCTTTTCAGGATAAAGTCGTGGGGCCCCCAAAGTTCAAAACAGACAATAACTCTGAAAACCCACCTATCATGTGTCAAATCCGCATACATCAACAATTTCTTTTATTAATCACTTCATAATGTTCCTAAAAATAATCAATTAATAGTTTATTAAAATATGATCTAATTATATTAAAACAAACAAAATGATAGGTCTACATTGCCACATGGATAACGTGGACATTACATTACTATAAAAAATTTAATTAATAATAACAAATATAATATAAAGCATTTCTTGCGAATGTGCATTATGGCATATGCGAGTTTGATTCGATTATTGTCATTTTCTTGGAAGAAATAATGCATCAAATTAGAAACTAATCATGTAATTATTTCAATAAAAAATATCTTAATCTTAATCTTATCATATAGGTACGACATTTAATACTTATAATATTTATTAAAATAATTTGTAGCATTTTGATATATATGTAAG